TCCTTGGACCGTCAATACAAACTCAAAAACGTTAAATAACGTCGAATTAATAATTTCAGTTGCAACAGACTAGGTATCCGCTGAAATATGCAATATGGACATTCATAGCACCATTCTATTCGCAAACAATAAAAAATCCAGGTCGGAACCTGCGTGGGTAGCTTGGGCAGTTGCAAGAAATATAATGCACGATCTAATCACGTAACACCGAGTGATGCCATGAAACTATAACCTGACTAGAGCTCATTGTGTGCTCAACTTCCGTCATCCTTAGTTTTCACACGCGTTTCTTGACTTTATTTCAAGTGCTCGCCACTTTATAAATTTATTATGTAATGATGATAATTAGAGCCGCAACGGAATGCACTAGATTCACACAATGAATAGAACCTGTAATTTAGAGGAATGAATCCTGACGGATATGTGTGTTCGCTTTTGTTTTGTTGTGTGTTAATGGGTGCAACGTTTTTACACAGTTTATCAAAAACCATTTTCCCCTGGCTGCATTGTTCAGGATACAGCGGTTGTTTGGTCATGCCTAGCGTTTTGAAATCACACTACTAACAATAAGATCCAATCACAGAGTCAATCTGGCGTATAATTTTTGATAAATAAGAGTTCTTTATTTGAATTCCGCACTATTTTCTTATCAGTAATCTTGGAAACCTCGATCCGAGAACAAAATCGATGTAACCTCGAAAATATAATGTTAAAATTACAAGGTGCAGTTCGAAGACATAAAAGTATGTGTGTTTCGGGGTTGGCACGGGCGTGAGAGTAGATCTTCACGTCTGGCCAAATGCCTTAGGGCTATCTACAACAGGTGAAATTCTCTCTCCATTCATTTCTTCAGTGTAAACGCATCGGCGTAGGAGAAAGGTTTTTCCGTCCTGATGCATTTTGACAAATTATCTTCCTTCATATCAACCCGTATTAGTGAAAGTACGTTAGATTTTCGGGCAAGCCAAGGTTGAAGATCTTGATGCTGCCTTCACAAATCAAGAATTTTAGGAATAGGTTTAGCGAAGAGAAACTTAAGTAAGCATTTTTTTCATGAATGCACGTAAAATGTGAAGCTTTAGCAACTACATTTAAATGTACAAAGTCAAAACAGACTGACACATACAATATGGTGCGAATTTAAATATTCACTTGACGTATAAGTAACACTATGGTGTTAACCTAAATTTTTACCTCTTCTATATACTAATCCGCAACATTTTGCCCAAACTTATCACTTACCACAGTTAAGTTAATATAAAAGAACATTTGTTTCGATAGTTGACATTTTGAATGCATAGCATACACCATGAGCTCGCTTTCACTGGATGCAAAGTTAATATGTATTAAACAACATAAATATACCTAGATCGTCTACCAGATAATTACCTTCGAATGTTTGTTACACAAGAAAAACTGATCTAAAATTATTTGGACAGAACGTCCTTGACCTCTTAAGAACAATCAAACAAGTTCCCTTTTTAGGTAAAACGAAAAGTTGACTGTGCAAACTGCATTTTAAAAAATGCAATCATAAATGATAACGCTTATATAAAAAATTTTGAAAAAAAAATTGAATTAATAAAATATAATAATGATTTATGTGTTTATTTTTTTAAACATCCTGTATAATGAATTGTAACGGGCAACCAAGGTTGCATGTTGGAGAAAATATTTGCTTAAGAAATTTTTGGAATCACGTCATTAAATTTGCAAAGGGAACAAATTAATACATTTTAATCGTTGTTCTGTAATCATTAAACCAATGTTAATTTTTCGCCAAACTTTCAAAAAAATTCGTTTCGAAGATTTTAATGTTTTAAAAGCAATTTTTATAAACGCTTCTTTACTCACAGTTTATTTAGGCACGAGTGCAGCGAGTGTCTAGAGAAGTGTAATAAATAACGTCTTCAAATTAAAACCTTAATAATAATTATTACCGAAACTCTGAAATTCATTACTCTGCAAAAAATAAAATACTAGGTAGGTACACCAAAAAAATTTTATTAAACGAAATAGTTTAATATTTTTAAGGAGCAGCAATAAATATTCCAAAAAATCAACATGTTTAAAATGGTAAATTTGTATAAGAAAATATTGATTTTGCAATTAGGCTCCGCCCCTCCGTCTGAAAACAAATGAAAAATTCATCACGATTAAGATCGAGACGGATGGGTGGGGCTTCTCTTTTGGTCTTATATTTTAATTAATACATATTTCACAAGGTAATTTCTCGTAAAAAAATAAGGATTTTACAATTAAGGTCACACTTGAGATCGGGCGACCGGGCGGGGCTTATATTTTGCCTTTTTTTTTAATATACATAGTCATCTTTTTACAACAAGAAACTTAGAACATGGTTAAAATGGTACATTTTTGCAAGGAATATGTATTTTGCAATTATGGGGCGGAACCTAATTGCAAAATCGATATTTCCTTATACAAATTTTCCATTTTAAACATGTTCTAAGTTTCATGCTGTGAAAAGAAGTCTAGACATACTAAAACAAAAAGACAAAATGTAAGCCCGCCCACCCGCCCTGTCTCAAAGGGGGCAGAGCAAAAAACAAAATACTTATTTCTTTACAAGAAATTAGAAACATATTTTTGGGTATCGTGTTGTTCAAAGAATATCATGGATATGTATTAAGAAAAAAAGCAAAATAGAAAACAAATAAAGAACCATTATAAATTTCAAACAAAATGTATGTACGAGGAAAATTTGAAGCTGACGTCATTAAGTATTTGCAAGGGATAAACAGATGATTCGTAGTTAGCGACGTATAAAAAAAATGTACTTAATTTCAGGTAAACGATTTTGCAGTTTCTAATTGGATTTGTAAAATTTTGTTATACTATTTTCGCTTTTTTTTTTCGAAAAACCCACATACAATGCAGAACCATATTATTTTACTACACATTTTAAAGAGGTTTTTGGTTAGCTTTTTATCGTCTTTTTATGATAAAATTTTATTTCAAAATACATCTAAAGCTCCACAACAATCAGTCCAGCGGTTTTGGAAATTATTTGTCTGAAACAATCACCAAAACCAGCAGACTACAAACAGACGACAGATAGACGGAAACGAAAAAGCTATTTTTCCTACTTATAGCCAACGCCCAGGTAATAAAAAAGTAACCAACATATCGATACCCATCTTTTGGATATCAACCAATTTATACAAAAAAAAATGGTCGAAGTTCATTTCGACAGAACTTCCCTCGCTTCTGAAATACAAGTCCAACAAATCCGTTTATTGCAAGGGATTGTGCAAAATGCACAAGTACAATGTAAAATACATTTAAAGCAGATAACCAACGGGAAAAATGGCCTCTCAGCAGTAATAACAAACGTTAATTTTAAGTGCTTGCTTGTACCGCGGAAGAATGGTCACGTAGAAATTTGTTTCATCTGAATGAGTTTGTCGCCTCAAAACAGGACACTAAAATTATTAATCGAACAGAATGTTCTGAATATTATTATTTTAACTAAAAAAAAAAATTAATTGAATAAATACATGCGTATTCACACTTTTTTGAGAAAATGGGGTAACTCGTTCTCAGTTTGGTCAATAAAAAATTTGTTACAACGTCATAAACACAGATAGTAACAGCGCGAGAGAAAAGGAGAAAAAAACACGAAAGGCGAAGTTTGGCATCGAACGCGTGACCGCCGATTCGCGCTTGAAGCTAGTACACACTGAGCCAGAATCGAGATATCGTGCTAGTAGTAAACTCTTATTACATTGTGCAAATGTTTTTGCAACAGTTTGGACGATTAGGGAAAAAACTCAAAGAATTCTTTGAAATGACGTCACCAAATTGTTTTTGGGGATGATTAGCCAAATTTTGGTTAGCGTTTAACCATCTACATGCTACTTCTAATACACTTAGAAATTTTACCACAAAGGGTTCAACAGTTTCGGAGATTACGTGTCTAATAAAAATGGATACAGACGCTAGACAGACAGACGGAAATGGGAGACTACTTTTTTCGTAGGGGTCATGAAACGTCTAGAAAGCATAAAAGTGGCTCGGAAACTAAAAACAACCAGGAAGATTATGAAAACGACAAAAAAACGGCATCTATGACGATGACACTATGGAGACGACGATGAACGTGATCGTGATGAAAATGGCAAATTCACCAATGAGAAAATTAATCGACGAGTGCAGAAAACTGGAAAATCAAGTTGTATTGAGTTAACAAAATTTATTAAGACGTTTAAGAACGCTTAAAATACACTTAAGGAAACATCTCGTAAAAAACAGGGGGGGGGGCAATGATTTAAACTATTTAATATTTGCAGAAAGTAGAATTTATTGCTATTCTTAAATTATTATTAGTTGTTATAAAATAAAATAATACGCAATGAACTTGACAAAGATCATTCTACAGTTAAAATAACCAAAGAACCTTTAAAGCGAGAATCTTGCATTCCACGGAGGACAAAAAAGTATAGCAATGTACATTACCTATTATACGTCTTGGAATTTAGCTAACCGTAAAATAAACAAGAAACTATTTAAATTCTTTTAATAAACAAAGTGCGCCGTTGAAGACGTAACAGGTTAATTATCTGCAATTTATATACGAGTATATTAATATATACCAACAAGAACTACTTACGTATAATCACATTGTCATGATAATTAATTTGTTTAGATATGTTCTACAAAATCATTACCAGTTGAATTGAAATTCAAACGAAAATCCATAAAGTGTTGTCTTATGTTAGATCATGAAGCAACTGTTAAACCCAAAAATTTTGTAACTATTGCTTAATAGAGAATATTGACTATCACCTGTATAACATCTAATGGTCTGAGAACGTCTAACGTCTTTTAATTTTTAAAAATTCGTCGTCCAGTCTTATCTTTAAATCTAGTTTCCAAATGTCGATTTTGGATTACAGTTATAGTCTAGATAAAACTAAAATTAGTCTTATCCAATCCTAAATACTTAGTTGAATTTTCATCAAACTTTTTTATCTTTGCAGAAATGGATGCTGATAGCAGCTATGGCGGCAGCGACACCGCTCAGGATTCGCATTCCGGTCATGATAACAGTTCCTCGCTAGAAACCACCCACAATGACGTCGCAACTACTGTCCCCGATGTGGACGCCCAACAGCAAGAGCCAAACAACTTCTACCACAAGAACGAAATTACCCTTCCAGTTAATTACGATGAAGCGGATTTCCAAGAGAATAAGTCCACGAAACAGCCCCATTATCTCTCGACAGCCAATCTCAATATCAACGATACGCTCGAACACCATAGTAATCTCGAAGAGATGAACAAAAACTATAAAAGTACGAGTTACTTGAACGAGTCGCCGAGGATACGAAAGAAGTCCACCGAAGGTGTCGATAATCCTGCGTTCCAGGAAGAAGAGTACAAACCGGAAGTCAAATCGACTTTCGACAATAATAAGCCATATAATGGAGACTTGAATTCCTCGGCCATGATGGGGTTGACGTCGCCAAATAAAAACGAGGAGCCTTTGACTGAAGCTGTTAATTTAGAATTAATCAATCTTAAGCCTATGGGGAAGGATGTGACGGGTGCTTATGAGAATGGTACTAACGGAATGACTAGCATTCCGGTTAAGAAAGAAAATGATGCCGAAATCGGTAATCCCTACGACGAGTATTTCGTCCCCGTTAATGAACACAGAAAATATATGAGGTAAGTGCTACTCCTTTAGTGTAAAAAATTTCTGTAAACGGATAAAGCAGACAAAAATTATTAAACAAAAGTCAAGTTTTCTTAAGTGGTACTAAGAAACAACCAATGAAATAATGTTATCGTAATTTCTATTCAGCGCTCTGGCAAATGCTACCAAAAGATGTCCAAGAACGTAACGAACTAAAAACTTACGCTCGAGAAGTAAAAATTTAGTCTCAAGTAATAAAATATTACAGTTCATTTCAATCAAAAACCTACCAACATCGTCTAGTCAAAAATATTTTATTAGAACTTATTCTGAAAATGTATAATGATGTCATAGCTCGAAGGGTATGAAGTCACAAATGGCTACAAGAGTTTTATTGGAAATATAAATTGACCTGTTTCGCTGTTTTCGACAAACACCATTAGTTTTAAAATTATTGGATTAATCCATAAGTAGTCCCCATATTGTGTAATAGACTCGTTTAACATTATCTTAATACAAAGTACAATTTTAGCCGCCGGCTAGGAAATGCTGTCTGTATAAAACCACAAAGCGATAACCATGGACCTCCTCGTAATACAGCATCTTTTACTTTCTTGAAACATATATTTAAACAGTAATTTGTGTACTAGTGCGTGAAACGCTATTTTAACACACCATTACAATAAAGTTTTTTGACGAGGCGCTAGCCGAGTTAAAAAATTGTTCGACAGCGAGAGCGTTATAGACATTACACGTACAAATTACACAAATCATCAATAACACACGTGTCACTTTTATTATGACCACTTATTGTCACCATGTCACTGTCGTTAATTAACACAACTTATATCGATTAACGAATAACTTTGAAAAATTGTTCACTCCCTCGTGATTCTTTTATATCATATCTAGTGGCTTTCTACTGAGCACCCCCCTATATAATAAAACAACAAATGCTAAACGTACTTACGGGTCTTTATTTTGGCAAAATATTCTATGACGTTATCAAAATTTACTTTCCTCTCTTTTTCAACTGATAAAATGGAAAGATTGTTTAGTCGCGCTTAGCTCATTGTGGACTTGAAGCACGATTTTATCAATTTCAATTTCTAACAGCTTCTAACAAATGGTTAAAAAAATCTTAGACAAAGTGCTAGACTCGGACACACTCAGAATAGCCCCTTTTACGATGAATCTGAAAAGCTCCAATGGAGTGCACTGAACCACTTCTTGGGAAGAAATGCTGGCGGCTTCCAAGTGGCGCCTCAGTCGTAAAATTTCCAAAGTTATGTACTCTGCAGAAAAATCTTGGAACTATTCCATGAACATCTTTTTTTGATGACGTTAGCAGTGGGATTTATAAACTTACCATTGCAGTTGCTGTTCCCGCTGACATTGCTTTTAGGGCTGAAAATTGTCATTTATAAACTCCGTTGGCAAGTTGCCGTTGATAGTAACTCTGATGTTCAACTTTTCCGTATTTAAAGGGGTTGAAGAAGAAAATTGAAGGATTTAAGTTGATCACTACAACAATTTACCATTTTAGACATGTTTTAAGTTTCTTGTTGTCGAAATGAGGTTACACATATTAACAAAAAAATGGCAAAATATAGCCCCGCCCACCTGCCCTATCTCAATTGTGATGATTTTTTTTTATTCGTCGCGAGCCAAGGAGGCGGAGCTAGTTTGTTCAAAGAATACTTTGTATATTAAGAAAAAGATAAAGCCAAAGATTAGGCATCACACGTACCCGCCCCGATCTCAATTCTCAATTGTGATGAATTTTTCATTCGTCGGCGGTTAATTGCAAGATCCATATTTGTCTAAAAGAATTTACCATTTTAAACATGTTTTAAGTTTCTTGTTCTCAAGAGACGACTACAATATATTAAGAAAAAACTGGTCTAAAGAGTATAGACGGTACTTCCCTCGCTGTCGGCAACGTGACGATTGTATGCCCATTATGTTTTTTTTTCGCAGTAGATTTCAAAGCATTCGGTTTTGTAGTTCCTGAGTAATTCAATAAATTTACGCATTCATTAATTTTTTTGGGTCACCCTGTATATGCAAATCCAAAAAATATCAATGGAATGATAAATCACAAGAAGAGACTCATCATATCTTGTACATTTTAGATAGGATTTATTCAGCAAAATTTTGCGATGGCGTCATCAATTTTTTAGGGGAGCAAATACATTTTGATAAAAAATTTACCATGCTTATGATAAATTTAAAACATCTCCAAGATTTAAAGGCATTCGGTTTTGTAGTTTCTGCTTAATTCAATAAAGTTAATTCACACATTCATTAATTGTTTTGAGTCACCCTGTATATGCAAATCCAAAAAATATGAATAGAATGATAAATTACAAGTACAGATTCATCATATTTTGGATATTTTAGATGGGATTTATTTGGCTAACTTTTTTTGGAGGGAATAACCAAATATATTTTGACTAAAAATTTATTATGCTCTTTATAACCTTAAAACATCTGCAAGATTGCAAAGCATTCGGTTTAGCAGATTCAAAATTAAATTGCAAATTGGTGTTTTATAATTTTGATTTTTTTTTCCAAAAATCTGGACGTTTCGGGTAAAAACTCAATTCGGAGTCATAAACTACATGTATAGGACTATGTTATTTTATACAATTTAAAACCCTTTTACTATGTACAATTTTGAAGTGACGTGTTCACATTATTGGTAGGGATGACTAGGCAAATTTTGGTTAGCGTTTTACCATCTACATGATATTCCTAATATAAATACAAAATTTGACAACAATCGGCCCAGTACTTTCGGAGAATATCTGTCTAATAAAAATCCGGGACGGCAGACAGACAGACGGACAAACGGACAGATGGAGAGACGGAGAGACAGACGGAAACGGGAGACCTATTTCTTCGTCCTCTAGGGGTTATGATCGGTCGAGTAAATGCAAAAGTAGAGAGTTAGCCAACGGACTCGATTACAATACTTCCTTTGCTTACGCTCGGGAAATAAAAAGGCTAAATATAAGCCCCGCCCACCCACCCTATCTCAATTGTGATAATTTTTTTTTATCGTCGAGAGCCAAAGGAGCGGAATTTATTAGCAAAATCCTTATTGTATATTTCTCTACAAAAAATTACCATGTAAGACATGTTTTTGAATATCGTGTTATTCAAAGAATACTATGTATATTAAAAAAAATTAAAGCCAAATATTAAGCCCCACCTGCCCTGAACTAAAAAGTAATGAAGTTTTCACTCGTTGGCAGATCCAGGGGCGGAGCCTAATTGCAAAATCCATATTTTTTTTAAGTTTCAAAAAATAAAAAAATCATCACAATTGAGATGGGGTTTATATTTTGCCTTTTTTTCTTAATATGTATATATAGTATTTTTTGAACACGAAAAGTATGTTTTTAATTTCTTGTAAAGAAATAAGTATTTTGCAGTTAAGCTGAGTCCCCTTGGTTCAGGGCGAATGAAAAAAAATCATCACAATTGAGATGGGGTGGGTGGGTGGCCATACATTTTGCCTTTTTGTTTTAATATGTGTAGAGTTCTTTACACAACATGAAACTTAAAACATGTTTAAAATGGAAAATTTGTATAAGGAAATATCGATTTTGCAATTAGCCTCCGCCCCATAATTGCAAAAACCATATTTCCTTACGTAAACCATTTTAACCATGTTTTAAGTTTCTTGTTATGAAAGGATGGCTATGTATATTAAGAAAAAAAGGCAAAATATTAGGAAAAATTGTAATGACCCCTAGAGTACGAAGAAATGGGTCTCCCGTTTCCGTCTGTCTGTCTGTCTGTCCGTCTGTCTGCCGTCCCGTTTTTTTTTATATGTTTTTGCAGAGTGATTCTTCTGTAAGTATTCTTTGGCTGTGCGAATGAGTTGTCGTCACCCCTTGGTGCTTGGTACCTGGGGTGGACCGCCCCCACGCCGGCGCTGATTATATCTTAGCTGTTTGTATCTTGATATATTTTCTTAATTTGATTATTGTATCCTTAAAACAATTTGTTTACTTTTTTATCAACGTTGAATTTCAAAATGGTTTTTAATCTTGCCTTGAAATTCCCAATAGCGACTGAAAATATATGGTATTGACGCATTTTTGATAGCAGAACGCTGAAAATTATGAACCTATTTATAATATTTAATATTCTGTTTCACTGGATATTAACTCTGGTTACTGGTGGCTGATTTTCGCTTCAATATAAAGAAATTCTCTGAAAGCTCATTCACGATCAATTATGATGAGCTTCCAAGATCCTTTTTATGAAATTTCAGTTTAGCTACATCTTCTTTATTTGCTGTTAATTTTGCAAGATGTAGCGAATAAATTTGGTGAACACAATATTATTCCAACTCCGCTTGATACTTGCACAGACATTATTTATTTTATTTGTTTTACTTTTCAGTAAAATGCAAGCAATACATCATTTACAAACATGCAACTATGGGATGTTATATGAAATAATAAAACTCGTGTTCGATAATACTACCAATAAATTGTTTTCGTCTTCAAAATCACAACATATTGTACTCTTACTAGCAACGTCATCTTTATAGAGACCACTTGAAGTATTCAATTATTTCTATTCCTTGATTCTCTTCTTAATATGTTTTGTGCTTTTCAGTAGATACGGAAGCGCAAAATACAGTAATAATGATTACTGTAGGTGCCTACATTCCAATTTTTATTTTCGCTTTCGAGTGCGCCACAGTCTTGTTGCTATTTCCCTAACGGTTTCTTCAGTTTATTTAGCTCATCTTTAAGATCGTTATCTTCCTTTTCGTTGTCCAACTAAGGTGCATGTTGCTGCTTTATTTAATTCATCTATTAGATCTCCTACAGCTCCTCCTTCTCGGCTAATTATTTTTTCAATGTATCTATTGTGTCCCGTAAGTTTTTGTTGCCATTTTCAAGAGCACCTGTTTGCTAGCCCCTTGTTTGAACTAATCATTTTGAGTCGCAGCATTTGCGGTGTTGCTTCTGCAGTTAAGTAATACTTGCTGACCGCAGAAACCGGAACTTTAATAAAAAACACAAGAAACGAATAAAAATTGTCAAACTACAATGATCTATTGATTTTGAAATTTATCGACAGTGACTAACAGTTGTCACACTGCCCCTAACTTTACTGTTTTTCCGGTGATGCACTGAGTTGCGAGAACAATTCAGAAGCAATTAAAACATGAAGATGTATATCACAACTAATTTTATACGTGCAATAAATCCCACAGTTATTAATGTCAAAATGCGACTCTAATAAATAATTGTTTTATAAAATAGTAATGCCCTTTTATTTTATAAAGTTGCTGTCTTCTAACCGAACATTTAACTTTCTTTGTACGCCACATACCACTATTAAGTTTGTCAGCCCTTCTACTTTTGTATATCTTCATTTTATATTTGGTTATTTTTTATATTTCCCGGGACTATTTCCTTTGCTAAACCTAGTATGATAATTATAACAAGTATATTTATCATGTGCGATACTTGATTCATATTAATTTGTATGTGATAACTATAAACTTAGTTATACTCGTACATTATTTTACTTTCTTCATAATAACTAAATCTATCACTTTTGATAAGACATTTTATTCACCACATACAGCGTCAGATATTCTTTAATCGCTACCATTTAAAACTTCTTACTTTAAGTAGAATATTAAAAAAGTGAAAAATGAATAAATCGCAATTACATAACAAATCTGACATTTATAAAAACCATGAATCAACACATGTATGGCTTTCTGTTATTTAAAAACAAATATTGTTTGTTTCTTTCCAATACAGCAGATAGCAAAAACTATTCTTTTGTAACCAAACATAAACTTGCATAATTTAAAAAAGTCAAGTAATATTTAACAGAAATCATCAATTTTGTGTAACATCCTTCGGGCTAATTAAAATTGTTAAAACTAATACTCTATTAGTTAACTAATATAATTTCCGAATCTCTAAATAATTAACACTCGGTATTTAATTAAGAAACTTCTTGTTGCACATCGTGTATAAAATTTCCTAACTTAACGCTGCATTGTTGTTTGGAAAGTCCAAATCATCATTCCTAATAATAGACTCCAAATTCTATTATTCACTTTTCAATAAACCATCACTGTAGATATAAATCCTATCGAAACACCAACCACGCGTACTAAATAAAAAACGAATTCTGAAACTAAGGAAGTACTACGCAATTCACGAAACATCTTCACTATTCACGTCAAAGTGTTACAAGTACCCACCCAAAAAAGCAATTGTTAGTTCCAAGCTTTCGCTTTCATTGCTTAGTATCACGCATTTGAAGAAGCGTTAAAATACCCATCAATATTCCAGTCCGTTGCACACTTTAAAATGTCGATGAATCGATTACAAATTATGACCATGCTAATGTTACTGAAATATTCGCAAATTTCTTTCACCGGAAGTACCTATAATTTTTTCTTTGACTATAGTAAAACTCGAAAAGGTCGCAACAGCGTCACTTTTGCCGAGATGATTGCCACATCTGGAGTTGACAATATGACTGGACTGTCCATAACAGCCCCGGAACAGGGTGTAGTGGAATACCCAGACTGGCTGACGTCATTAGAAAATACACGGTACCAACATTCATTCATACCACGACACCATCAAAGGGTACCGGGAGTTTGGGTACCACTATGCGGTTCGAATAAAACTATTGATAAAACTTGTTTCGCGATATCAATCAATAATTTTATTCAGCCTAAATACAAACAAAACATATAGGGGAGCATTGGTGTATGGTGGATATGACTGGGTGTTGGTTTAATAATATAATTGTTTAGACGCTAAGGCCCTTAACATTCACGCAATAAAAGATGATGATAAGTAGCGATTTTTCAAAAAGTTGGTTGTAGTTTCATTAGCTACTTACTTATCATCATTACGCCAAGCTGTAGCTGATCTAAGCTGCTCTGTAATATATGAATTATTAAAAGTGTGTGTTTGCAGGGGCGAAAAACTGTATGTTACCATGGACAAAAGGAACAAAAAGAAAAGAAATAAGTGTTTATGTTGGGGACTTTGCTTATGTATCGTCGCCGCAGCTGTTATCATTGGCATCTTAGCAGCAGGTAAGTTTTGCCTAAGCTTGCGTGGAATTTGGAGTGAAACTTCTAATGATTCTCTTCTCAAGATGCAATCAGTATTGAGAAGAATGATTTGCATTGTTCGACAGTGCCACACAAAGTAGAGTGAATCACCTTTCACCGTTCCATCATAAAACGTGTTTGTAATTAGCTAAAGGAGCCTGATTACGTATTGTCCTTAACAAAATCCTTTCAACTGAAATTCTGACAATTATTTCTTTTTGCAAAACTATTATAAACTATTAGTCTTAATATTTAGGACATTTACCAATAACAACCTTCTCCAATGATAATTATAAAAATTATTATAATTATGACAATAGTACAAGTTTTTTTTTTAATAAAAATGCGGTTTATCCTGTTCATTATAGAATCTTAATACGCAAAATAAAATTAGCAACAGTTAATCGCTTCACAAGTTGTAAACAAAGTTGTTTGAGATAACATTAATAGGATAATTTATTAGGTAATTTCTGATCTTTGCCTTTTTTCCAGTCGGTGTAATTGGAAATCAAGGACCTCATCCGATTCACGAAGTAAGCGCACGTCACTTCGGTTCTTCTGCGTCAGACGACGCACCAATACATAAAGGAGGTATTTTCGGGCTTCCACAAGACATAGTTAACGAAACGACGATACTCCCGGAAGTTTCAACACGGCGTCTTACACCAGAACCTCCCGTTGTCACAGTTTCCAGTATGTTGCCTTCCACAGAAACATCTATGATACAAGGTTAAAAAAGCAAATTAAGTAGGAAATGCATTAACCTAGAGAAATTTTAGTTCCTCGGGCATTGGAATCCCAGTTTGTGATAGATAACCTACAGTTCACTCCTGCCCTATCCAATAAAAATAGTAGTGAATACAAGCAACTTGCTGAAGAGTTAGAGACTGTCTTGAAAAACTCCTTATTTTCTAATAGTGAATTAAATTTTGGTTCGGCTGACATTGAAGTCAAAGTTATGGATTTCGCGTAATGTTTTTAAGCTCGATGTCTTAGTTCTAAAAACTAATAAATATACTTTTACAGATCTGGAAGTGTTGTAGTAAAATACCGTATTACATGGGTTTTCAAAGATGGAATTCACAATCCCAAAGATCCAGTTAACGAGGAATCATTGACAAACAAAGTAAAAAATATCATCGAGGGCAATAACGGCTTCATGAATACTTACCACGTTGTCGATAATAGTGTCGTCGTAGAAAGAGTACTCGATCTATGTAAAATTGATAATCACGGATGTGAATACAACTGCTCATTCGATTATAAATTAGCAGATTTTGTTTGTTCTTGCCCAGATGGAAAATACTTAAGTAGTGATAAAAAATCTTGCACTGATGAAATGATATTTGAACATGAACATGTACATCCTCACGAACATTACTTCCACACTACGATGCATCCAGAACCAGAACCTTCTGCTGAACCTGAACCAATCCATGACCATGATCACCACAACCATGACCACAACGATCATCAACACGATTATCATACCACTATAAATCCACAACCAGAACCAGAACCGTCTGCAGAACCCGAACCAGCCCATGATTACGATCATCACGAGCATCATCAATACTATCACACAACTGTAATTCCACAGGCAGAACCAGAACCTTCTTCTGAACCAGAACCTTCCTCGGAACCAGAACCAGTACATGACCACAATAAAGACGATCTATTTTACCACACAACTACTAAACCAGAACCAGAACCATCCGCTGAACCCGAATCTACCCAAGATCACCATGATCACTACCACTTCCATCATGAAATTGTACCCACAGCTGAACCAGAACCAGAACCAACCTCTGAACCAGTAACGGAAGCAAAAATTGTTGAAATTCATCATCATTCTGAGGAAGTACGACCGGAGCAGATCAACCCAGAGGCTGAACCAACTGACAAGCCTGAAGAAGTTTCACATGAAAATTATATTCATTTCCCCCATACTGAAATGAATAGCGTAGAAACCACTACAGAACCCAAGGCAGAACCTATTACAGAAGCACATGATCACCATAATCATTTTGTGGCCGTGCCTGTTGAACCTGAATCGGAGCTTAACATAGAGATGACCACTGAAAAACAAATGGACAGAACAGAACCTATAGATAACGTAGAAATTACCACTAGATCGAACGTGGAAGCTAACGTAGTCGCTATTTTGTCAACTAGCACCGAACATAACGTAGAACACAGCAGTGAACATAACGTAGAACATAGCACCGAATATGACCTAGAACACAGCACCGAACATAAACATGAAATTGAAATTGCGCCGGAACCAGCGGCTGAACCCGTTACAGAAAATAATCCAGTTATTACCACAAATACAAACGCTGAACATAGTGTCAAACATTCTATGATTGATGAAACGCTAACACCTATTGCAGAACCTACACCCGAACCAGAACCGGAACCCACTCCTGAACCTGTTGCTGAACCTACGTCAATTCCAGTAGAAGTCCATAATTCACATGTCGTTGAAGAAACTAGCTCTGAACATTTTGCAGTCCATCATGAAAGTGAACACAGCACAGAACCTGTCGCTGAACCAACCGCAGAACCGACAATAGAACATAACACTGAACCTGTTGCCGAACCACTTCCGGTACTTCCACTGGAATACAATACTGAGCATTTCCCACAAACCACATTGCAACCAAATTCTGAACACAGTACGCAAAACCAAATTTCTTACGATGAAAAAAATGTAGAACTACACGATCACATACCGGAAACTTCTTCACATGCAACAAGTACATCTGAATCTGAACATAAAGCGGAAATAATCACAGAAGTTGTTAGGCCTACCACTACTATGAGCACTAAAATGGAAAATGTCACCGACCACGAAATCAAAATTGTTGATTCTTCAGACGAAACGATGACTGAAACTTCATCTTCATTCGCTGTACACTCGGTTTCTGAAACAACAACAGAATCTAGAAACGACGTACATGTTTCTGTTTCTTCGACAGAATCTGCTCCACCCACCACAAATGTATATACATCTGGCAATGAACTTAGATATAATCACCTAGCAAGCGAAATTTTCGCAGAACCTGAAGAGACAACAACAATGAATAATCAACCTCAAGAAATGTCAAGTCCTGAAGCAACTACTTCTAACCAAGAATTGAATTCCAGTATTTCTACTAATGTTGTTACCGAAGAAAGTATTGTTGTAAATACTTTAACTCCCGAAATACATGTAGACAAGTCCATAACAACAAACATATATGTAACAACAACTCGTCAGCCTTTGGTTGAATCGTCTAGTACAAAGGAAGAACACGAAGAAAATCTACTAATACCAGTATCTGTTAATGAACAAGCACGACATTTGCAAGTGCATACTAGTACAGAACAGCCAGAAAATGACACAAATACTGTATCGGTCGTCGTTAATGACATGCCATTAATGTTACATTCAGATGATATAGAAATCAAAAACATCACTACCACCCAGAAACCTGAAGAAATGACTACTCAGCCATCCGAAATGACTAAAATGCTTACAGAAATGCATCAACCTGACCATTCAACTGAAACAACTCTTGAAGCATCTTCCAATAACACTCATATGCATGGAACAATAGTTGAAAGCACCGAAAACACTAGTGCTATGGACAATATGTCGCCTTTCCTTCCAGAAATCGACAATGACACATTCGTTAATAAACTGCACTTAGGAGAACATGTGATTCCTCATATTCAGAATGAAACTCACGATGATGAAGGCGCTGAAACTTCACCACCACCTCGTCTTGACAATGACCAAATGAATGTAACAAATCCGCAAGACCCTACCATAACTGACAGTGCGTTAAAAGTCGTTCCTTTGGAAGGCGGCGAGAACGAAATTGTGGAAAATGTCACAAAATCAGCATCAGACAAAATTGATGAAGAACCAAAACAAATTGAGTCTCACATTATTCCAGTTTTGATGCAACAAGATGCACCAGTTACAACAAGTGAAGCGTCTTCAGCCGTTACAGACAACCAAAGCGAACATTCAGTTGTTGTTTCAAAAGAAAGCGAACCTGATATGGTACCAGTGATAGTATCACAAGAACCAATAACCACAACGACTATGGTTTCGACACCAACAGAAAATGAAGTTGGAGCAAACAAAACAATTAATTTAACTGAAAATAGCAGTGATACTATAGTGAAAAATAACGAAAATATTTCTGATATTACTCTAGTTCAAACAACCACTACTTCTTCTTCTGGAGAAACTATATTTACTACACTACCACCAGAGATATTAAATAATGTACACGTTAACAACTTCTTTGAAAATACTAAAAACCAACAAGAAACAACTACTTCTTCTTCTGGAGAAACTATATTCACTACACTACCGCCAGAGATATTAAATAATGTACACAGTAGCAACTTCTTTGAAAATACTAAAAACCAACAAGAAAATAAAAATGATGGAAATGAATACAGTACAAGTACAGAAGATTTGATAGCTTTGGAAACAACAACCAATAGAGAAAAAGTTCCTGAATATCGAAGCGTTACAATCGATCAAACAACGGAAATTTTAAAAAGCAATCAGAGTGCTACAACAGTTCATGCAGAAATTGTAGATACAGTGACGGAATCAATTAATTTCAATAATGATATGAATGCAACTGTTAATGAAACGGTTACCAACTCAGTAAGGACACCTGTCGGAGAAGAAACAACTACTATCTTTTCAAATGAAATTACTACAATACCTACACCAGACAATTCTTCTCATGCTTATGAAGTAAATGAGTCTTTAGCTGATGTTACAACAACTGAAAAACTTTTCGTCACTGCAAAATCAACAACCGAAAATCCTATAATTACGAAAGCTGATTATGAAGATCTATCTGTTGTACCATTAGACCCCGAAGACGAAAACGAAACTGCCAAAGTTAATGAAAAGCGTGTAGTTCATGACACCATTACTCAGCTAGATTCTGACACAAGTGACAGTTTCAATGATATATCAGAAGAAGAACAGGCAGTTATGGATAAATTCCATCACAACGACAACGATATTAATGCAGTTAAAGAAAATTCCAATGATGCAACTACTAGCAAAATTGACGAGAGCGACACTAACACGGAAATTGGTGGTGAACTATCCAAATACGATGAAAGTAAATTCAACAAAAAGAGCTACTACGATAAAGAAAAACCTAAATTTGAGAAAAAGGTTAAGTTAGAAAAAGTTATCAGTACTATCACTGATGACGAACTTTTGACATCGTCTGCACCAAATGATAAGCAACCCCATCCGTTCAGTGATATCAGGCCCGTAACAGAAGATTTTGCAATTCCTGATTTTGCCAGATGTACCTACGGTCAGTTCCACTGTGTGAACGGAACATCTGTAAAAGACGGTAGTTACTGTATTCCAGAAAATGATCGCTGTGACTCCGTAGATGACTGCAGTGATGCTTCTGACGAAATCGACTGCGTTAAAAACGGATGTCCAAACAATTTCCAAGTAAGTGCTCAGTTTTGAAAGATAAAACCTATTAAAAATTAAATTTCTTACTAGTGTGCAAGTGGACAATGCTTAAAGAGACATCTAGTGTGTGATGGTATCCAAAACTGTAATGATGGTAGCGACGAAACTGGATGCGGTAAGTTCAAAATCTCTCTCAAAAAGTGTTACGGTAGTATATCTTATATTATTCAGACCACTGGACATGCCGATTCGATGAATTCTCTTGCGGACCCGGAAGCCGTTGCCTTCCCATCATTTGGAAGTGTGATGGTAGATCACAGTGTCTGGATGGATCAGATGAGCACAACTGTCCTTCAAGTCAATGCAGTGAAGATTCTTTCCACTGTACAGAACAAAATGCGTGCATACCAAAGAGTTGGACATGTGATGGAAAATCCGACTGTTTGAATGCAGAAGATGAAAAGTCATGCGGTAAGAGAATTTTCAGTTAACTTTCATTGTCTACATGATTCTATTTTAGCATGTGCAAGTGATGAATTCAGGTGCGCCATTGGTGGAGGATGTATCAAAAAAGAACAAACATGTGATGGTGTGCCTCAATGTGCTGATCAGTCGGATGAATGGAATTGCTGGCGATTAGAAAAAGAAACCGACAATAAAAAAATTTTAGAGGTCTTTATTACTTCAAAACATGCAAAATGAAATTATTTGGTTGACATTTTAGGTACGGGTTGCTAACAGCTCGTGGTATCCGATTTGTTCCAACAACTGGAATCAAACCTATTCGGACTCGGTATGTCGCAGTTTGGGTTATGGCGGTTCCACTTCAAGTGAAAATGTAGATAAAAAAGAGGACTGTGACACATGTTTTAAACTCAAGCCCGAATTGACATATGGAGTTTCCCTTTTATCTCAACTCGAAAAAGCCGACAACTGTGAAGCTCATGTTTCTATAACTTGCCAAGAATTTTGTAAGTACTTAAATTTTTTTACGTTACGAAATGAACCTTGATTTTGTAGCTTGCGGAAGTCATTCTACTCTTGACATACAATCAGCGCGTATAATTGGCGGAAATCGTGGAGTTGAATCACAATGGCCTAGTTTGACACTTCTCTACAACAAGAGGCACAATTTACAATGTACTGCAACACTCATAGCACCAACATGGGTTGCTGCTAGTTATTCTTGCATCTTCAACTCTAACTCACAAGCGCCAGTACTACCAAACGACTGGATCTTGTATGCAGGTAGTACCAACTTCTTCAGTAATCCAGACAATTCAACTGTACAAGTTGGCCAAATCAAACGTATCCTTCCACATCCACAGGTAAATACTTAGTTTTGGAAATTACTATATAATACAATTTTATACTTACGCAGGCCAAATTTTCACAATTTGAATATACCAATGACGTAGTTTTGGTAGAACTCACTAAACCGTTAACGATAACGAGAAACGTTAGCGCTATGTGTTTACCGGATAAAGACATAGAACCAAGACAGCTATGCGTAATCGCAGGATGGGGAGTTAGCAAACCAGGAGGTATTAACTTTTCTAGCAATGTTATTTGTGTTTTGACATCTAGTTACTTTTTTAGAACCCAGCAAGAATCAATATCTGCATTATTTGCCCGTTCCCGTAATTGATTCAGAAGAATGCAACTCCACCAAACACTATAATGGTTTAATGAGTAAAGACAAAATCTGTGCTGGTTATACAGATTCTGAGAAAACTCCATGTTATGTAAGTTTTACTTAAGTTGACTCTATTGACTCCATTGATTAACAAATTTTTGTTATGAAATTTTAAATATAAGTTTACGTGGCTTTAAAAATCAATATCTCAGTTATTTATGTAAATTTTGGAACGCGATTTTCACCACTGTTTTCAGTCTATAAATTTCTAGAAACTACAAAAGAAACATTATGGACTTTTTTGTCGGAAATAAGAAACTGTAAAAGCACCTATAATAATATTTATAGAGTGAAAGTTTCTACTTCAACTTTTTAAATTTTAAAAATATACTAACGTAATGCAGTAATGCAGTGTATGAATAATTATTATTGTTAAGCTCGAAGTGTATGTAACCAAAGTGTCATTTACATATCTAGAACAAATGGGAATAATTACAAAAACAATAAAAAAAAACAGTTTAACAGAATCTTGAATCACAGTTTTTCCAGAAAAAATATTCAACATTCGGCTCTAGATTTCCCTGCAAAGCTCTAACAACATTTCCGTTATTAAACTATAAACAAACTCTTAAAATTTACATACTGATAAGGTGTTTAAATGCAATTTTCAGAATGACGAGGGTGCGCCCTTGATGTGTTTCTCAGACAACGCCAGCACTTGGGAACTGCAGGGTATTCTCAGCCACCATGATAATTGCGCAAAAAGCAAACATCCTGCAATTTACACTTCGATAAACGAGAGAATGAGGAAGTGGGTGATAAATACCATAGGCCAGAAACCAGCGAGAAATGCGTAATCGTGATTTTGTATTATAGACTTTGTTGTAACATAGCAGACATAGGTTTACCAATTATTTCTTAACAGACATATTATGTAGCTCAATTACTACTTAAATTTCCATCTTAAGGTTTGAAAATAAAGTAACTAACTTCCACTTTTACTTAAAGCAAAAGTGGAAACTAGTCAGTAAAATTAACAGATTTTTATCGCTAGTACGCATACTAAATGTTCGTGGTTATTAAAAGTTAAATGTTGTTAAATTTCATGCAGATTAATGTGTAAGTATTTTGGTATCAATTTTAAAACTGTTGTAAATATTGTATAGTTTAATTACTATTATTATTTTATTTCTGTTACTGTTATATCCATCAATTTTTTTACGTAACTATCTATTTTATTCATCCAAGGTCGAAGTCCGTCCAATAAATTTAAATTAAAAACATATTTTTGTTTTTGTAGTTCGCTAGTCACACATTCTTGTGCCAATATACAAGTGCATGTGACGGTAAAGGACCATCATGTTGTGTAAATAAATCTTTTAATATTTACGTAGATACATCCATCCCAATTAGGCTTGTATTGTCCAAATTTTGTTTATAATAAAGATAATAAAACACCAAATGCAGCGTTGTTTTTTTTTTTTTAATATGTATTCATAATTTAGAAAAAAAATATCATGAAGAGTGGTTAAAACTATTGTAGTAGTGAGACATTTAAATACGTAAACCATAAACGTCTTTGAAGGGCAATGCCATACATATATGTAATAATAGTACTGCTACTGGTATTAGATATCGGGTGATTTTTTTTTAATTTCCGTGCTAATTACCCATGACGCTTACGTCAGCAGTTTTAATTTCACTGTTGAGTATTCTGCGGTTGACGTAACCGTAACTAGAACATAAATTTCTCACTCGGTATATGAGTAATATAAAATGTAACCCCTTGTATAAAAAATATGTATTTCGTGTGTCAGGCAAAGACAATAAAAAAGCAGTACATAAACAACAGCATTCATAAATGCCTATCAAAAAAAAAACTAAGTCAAACACATAATTGATATGCAAAAAACGAAAGCCCAAATAGTATATTAAAGAACGAGTTTCATAAGGCAAATATTGAGGCACGAATCCAAGTTTATAGAACGAGCGGCGAAGCCGCGAGTTATATAAAGGATGAGTGCCTCAATGGCCTTATGAACGAGTTATTTATACTATTTTTTCTACCGCACACGTTTTTTCCGAAAATTTTATTGAAATTTGCATTTTTTTTAATCTGGGGACTTTTGTCGTGGTTGGTGATGAGTTGATCTGACACTAACCACGAAATATTTGAGGTTCGAATTTTCACAACAACAACTGTAATTCGAATCAATTCGAGTTTTTGTAATTTAAAAAATTGGTTAAAATGTCTTCTGAAGAAGTTACGCGTCCGGAAATGTGGGAAATTTTAAGTTTACATTTGCCACTGACATTCACCTGACATTTCTCGTCATGGCTGCCAATCTTACCGATCTAAATTACACCAAATCTATTAAAGAACGCCTTTCCGCTATTAACGAACTGCTGTGACGTCATTTGCGTGCGTTAATAGCTCTATTAGAAAACCAAAAAACGTGGGCGGTAGAAAAAACCATTTTGGCATCTTGCATCTCAAGTAAAAAGTCGCATAAGAGTCGTATTAAGTGCTGCCCTCTTAAGAAACTTAAAGTAAATAAGCATAATAGACATCTGTAAAACTGTCAAAAATTAGTCAATTGTCACCGGTTATTGCTTGTCAAATTTGTCAAAAATTGTTGCCATTTGTACTTATTCGTTGCTTCAGTTAAAATAACAACAAGAAAATATTAAAAACGTAAGTACTCCATTAATTCTGTTCTCAGTGTCTGCAAGGAAAAAATTACAGGTCATAAAAATGGATTCTCTCGATTTCTTGGAGAAGCGTATTGAGGCTTTGGAACTCCAAATTCTCCCAAAAAATCCGAATTTCACAAATGACGATAAAACCCAACAAATCACAGATCTTCTCCTACAAACGCAAACCATGATAAGTTCAGCATTGAGTTGCCGAGAAGCCATCACCTCGATCCTGCAGCATATGACTACGATCAATGAGTATCTTGATCCCGCAAATGGCGAAAATGAGCTGGAGATTGAAGCTAAGCGTCACTATCTTTTGGAACTTTATCCTGAATTAAAAGATACGGTTAAACTAATCTCAACATTTGAGAATCTCACTCCATACACTGACTCAGGGAGCATTTTAAAAGTTACTGAATTGACAGATAAATTGGAAAGTCTAGCTGTTTCTAACTTGAAAATATTCGAAGAAAGTCAAGAAGTTACTCAGAAAACTGTTGGTGCTTTACAACAGTATAATGATATAATAACATCAATTAAAGTTTTGTTTGCACAACTTGATCAAGCTATAACTGATTTAGAAGCAGCCCTGTTACCTAAATTTGTTACAGAAGAGTAAACCATAGATCCTTGTACATAACTCCTTTATACATTTTTTATTTATTTATTAATAAGGGTGTCTTGTATTTTACAAGTCGTTTTGTTGAAAACCAACCATTTGTTGTAGCTACTAAAATGTCTTAAATATAAACAACTTCACCGATTTAGTATTTGACTGTTACCTTTCATTAGCGGCAGGAATTTTTTCTTGGATCAAAATGTTTATAAAATGTAACAAACAAGAAAAGAACAAATTTATAATAAAATAATACCGACGCCAATAATGCTGTTTCGTTTCTTTTTGCCTTCATCTTTCTTGAATTGGTGTGCCCTAATTAAATACCAGTGCTAGTTATTATAAGTAAAAACTAAATTATCTATGAGTTGTCTATTTAGTGACTTTTGCCATATTGTAATGGTTCTGGAATCCTCTTTTTGCTCTGTAGAAACAAATGGGAACAATGTTATAGGAATGCTTGATAATTAATTGCCAAAGATTGTGCTAAACTTAAACTCAAATTAAGAAATTGTAGATCACACAGCATCGTCTGTTTTTAATTTAAAATGTACTTTGTATAAATACTTTTTTAATATTGTTCGAATCATCCATCGCAAACAACTTTCAATTAATCCCTGCGTCAAATCACTGAGATTCAATAAAATATACAGATGTCCAAGTTGTTTCTAAATATTTTTGTTTGAAGACAGTGAGGTTATGTTTCCTGCATTAGCTGATCGGTGATCCCACGTGGGCCTTGGTGGTTCCCGAAATAGTCGTTCCCGTATGCGTCACATTAAAAATATCAATATATTATCAGGGGCGGCTGGTGCCGGGGGACACAAGGGCACGTGCCCCCCCCAAAATTACAACGTCTACAAACATACTGGACATAGCAAAATAGTAATTTTCAATATTTAAAAAATTATCCGGAAATTTGTGCAATAATTATCAAAACTAATTTTTTTATCTCGCTCCATTTGTATAAAATGTATCAAAACTTACTTCCACTTGCATCTAAAGATGTGTCTTGGATATATGATATGTTATTTCAGATGAAATGCTGATAAAAGCCCGGCACAGAGACCGAATGGACCGAATCATGGCTGATTTAGATGTTTTGTTTACACCGTTGCCATGGAAACTACACGTCGTAGCCGCCTGATATGCGCCTGATTCAACTGGATTGTGAGCCCGTTGCGACCGTGCTCTGGAGGATTGAGTTACTATCGCGGGTTTTAATTTTCATTCTGCGCGAACACGTATATATATCTTGGATAATCTTCTCGGTAATACAGACATTCGGAAAGAACTACACACTGCTTATATTAATAATATTCGTGCACATAGCGCAAGGGTTGACAAAAATCGCCATTTATTACGCCGATTGATAATGTGCATAAAATTTTGGGGAGTGTTTGAATTTGCTTTACGTGGACATGACGAAAGTAGGGAATCACAAAATCCTGGTATATTTCGAGATCATTTGAAAGAAGCAATGGTTTTTAAAGGAACCCCTAAAACTGTCCAAAATGAACTTTTAGATGCCATGAACACCGAAGGCAAAAAGGTATGTGGAGAAATCCTTTTTTATTTTTATTGAATGTATTTTTGTATTTTTTTCTATCACACAATTTCGTCTATTAATTGGTAATAACAACCTGTTTTATATCTTCATATTTAACTCATCAATCAAATTGTGCCCCCCCCCCCCATTCAAAAAGTCACCAGCCGCCACTGTACATTATTAAACCACAGGTACATGAGAATGTGGCAATATAAATTGCAAATGAATTCACTTAGCAAAAGGCAGGTTTACAGACGATAGATAAACATCAAACGAACGACAGAAACACAGACAGGAGACAGGGCGAAACGGAAGGCCGACAGTTACATATTGTACAATCGTCAAACGTCGAGAAAATATATTAAACCTGGGAGGCAAAAAATAAAAAAATCAGAGCTAACAGTGCCATTTTTCAATCGGTGGCACCAACTCGCGGCCGACTGCAGCTCAAAAACTTATTCATTTAATTGTCGATGTCTATTTTCTTTCTGTAAGTAGATTATATTTAATTACGCAGTATGTTTTTATTGTTTTCATCCACGAACATATTTAACTTGGTCAGATGATGTAGGAAGTGCTATTCCGTGTTTCTTACTCTTACATAAAAACCTACTACTTACCTGCCATAAAGGTGCATTCATTGGATTTTTTTTTGTTCAGAGTAGTTTCTGTTCAAAACAAAGTTCAAAAAGAAAGTAACGTCAAACAGAATTCTAGAAGAAAATGCTAAAAACCTTCAGTTTCGTTCGTGGAAACAAAATTGTCCAGACAGATGATGATTTTTATGGTAAACGGATGGAGTAAATTTGTTAGATGATAATAATTAGTCAACTCTTGACGTCAAGGGCTGGATATTGTTGACAATGTTAACTTTGCATTTGTTTACGTTTTGTAAGATACCTATTCTAATTTTTTCTATTTCACGTTTGTACTGATGACTTACATTTTCTTGTATATTGTTACGTTGAACGGGTATTTAAAATCGGCGTGGGTCAATCTCAACAATTTATGTCTTAGTAACTCAAATTTACACGACTGATTACATACCGACTATTATGTACAAAATAATTCCGGCGCCACTTGACTGGACTGGACTCGACTCGTTAACTGAATAATGGATTTGATTAGACTCTACTCCCGTTGCCTGCACTTCACTAACTGCTCCCGGCGGTGGTTCCCCTTTAAATGGCCGCACAGTCCTTCTCGAAGGTGTCCGTCACTGCTTCTAGGCTTGCTTTGGAACACCCGTCGCGATATCCGCTTCCAGGCTTTTCTTTAGAGAACGCCGTCCGACCGCGATGAGTCATCATCGCCGTACATATTAGAACCCATAGGCGTCGTACCGGGGCGGCATATGGGTTTATTTCGTAACAATATGTAGTTCTCAATTTTCATAAAGATATATTGGTGCCTATGTTACGTTGATTTTAAGGATGCTTCTAAGTCCTTGGAAGAAAAGTCTGTTGAAGATTTCGGCACAAATAAGTTAAAATTAAGCAAATCGCCTGTATTAGGAAAAAATAAAATTCCTCATTCACATAGACAAACTGAAACACTCTGCTACCAAATATTTAATAATACAATTCACTTACAAAAAACGCCCTTAACAAGAACTAAAATTGTTATAACCAACGCGCGGAATTGTGTTTCATACGCTCGATCCAGTGCTGTCGCGGCGATAGTTTGATTACAAATATATTTTTCTTTTGGACTATATCAACATAATATAACATTTCAAGATCACAAATCTGTGGTCATGTGTTTGAAAAATTAAAAAGGGCATCGAGTATTTTTATTTGAAGTAATATAGTAATATAGAAGTAGTTTTTTAACAAGCTGTAAACACTCCAAGCGACGCACTGGCTACGACCTTGTGGACCAGATCAAAGCGTCCCCGCTACTCGCCGTAAAACACACCTTGCTTCAACTGGGGAATTGCATCCGTAAGATATTTTTCCGCCCAGTGGTTATAACAAATAATTATTAATAATTATTCCTGATATTTGATATCAGTTACATAGGTATTAAACATATACCTAATTTGGGACTAAGTTGCACTGGATCCACAATTTGAAAGATGTACTTGTACACCTTTTATGCAGATATGTGTCACCACAAATAGGACCTGCAAAACACATTTTTTCAATAATTCTTTAGTTTTTGTACTGTGATAATTTTGCCAATTTTGGTATTGTTTTCTAAACGCATAAACCTGAAGTTCAGTGTCTCTTTCTAATTTTAGCTATTTCGTAGGTATTCTAGATGCTATTTCTAGCCCCACTTTATGTAACTGAGCCTGGATTCTTTGGTTTATTTGTTGATTGAAACTATTATTACTGGCTTATTCATAACAAGGCTGGTAATGCTAACATCATAGTAGTGGAGTGCTGTTATTGTGGAAAGCATAATTTAAGAGTTCTAGCTATCTATGGAAACTATGATTATCTCAGATTCAAAAAGCATTCCTAAAAACTTTACTATGTGGTGGTGTTTTGTAAAAAAAATTCTTCACGGGGAAAACCGGAAAAAGCAGAATACATTTTCAGCAACAAATATAGCTTGAACGAACTGTTCTCCGTCTGCTGATGAACTAATGGGTTGTTTCTTTCCTTTAATTAGATTACTTTTAGCGGTATTTTTTTAAAGCTGGTTTAATCCGCATGGTTCTTAACTACGTTTGATGTTTGATGATAATAATTACATACTTCAGTCATTTCAAGACCATCATCTCACAATATAGTTGGTGCAGGAATCAGCTGGTTTCGCACCAAGGTGAAGATATAGTGCGTCAACCATCACGGCAAATCTTAACCAATTTCGGATTATCTAAGGGTTCATTGGTTTTGTGTCGGGGAATTTTAAGTATCAACACTTGTTCAAAAGATTAAAAAAGAAATCTCTCTCGTCGATTTTCACTTTATTGTCTTTATATTGTTCACTTTATTGTTATTTCTATATTAACAGAAGTGTTCTTCCGTTTTTATTTTGTTGCTGCCAATTGTTGATAGGTCTGAAATGTTTACTCGAACAGAGATATCTACGTATACCGTATGATCCAAAAGTTTTCAGATAAAGGGAAGCTAAAGTCAGCGCACGTAGGGGATGATATAGCTAATATTTAATGGAAAGAAATAGGACTAGCTGATGTGTATTAGTATAAGAACTAAAAAAAAAAATGTAGGAGTTTCCCGAATTTTAATTCGTTCTGTTGAAGATTTCGCAAGTAGTATAGTCTTCTACAGGCTCTAATGTTATATGAGTCCCTTTTTTATGGAGTCAAATACCTCAAAAAGAAGGTCATAATAGGGGTAATATAAACCCATATCTTTAACCTGAAGTACCAAGGCTAAAGGTGCACTCCTGTGGTCGGATTTATAATACATCTATTATGACCTTCTTTCTGAGATATTTGACTCTGCCATATAACGTTAGAGCCCGTGGACGAGTATACCTATCAGTTTTGGTAAGCAACCACAGAACTACACCTCTGCACTCTGAAGACCATTAAAATTAGCCACATGAACAACACTTGCTGATTCTGCTATACAAAGATTTACTTAATTATTATTATTATTATTATTATTATTATTAAATTCGGCGGTCGGGCAGAGACGAACTTTTATGATTACAAATCGCCTAATAACTTGGCCTATGCATTATGTTCGTCGTACCGCTTTTTGAAGACAAGGAGGAATTGACTTGTAACGATATCGTCAGGGAGAGAGTTCCAATGATTAACAACTCTGTTGGTGAGAAATGTTCGTCGAGCAGTGGAAGTACACCTTTCCTTAATTAATTTGAAAGAATGTCCTCGTGTTATTTGATTTGAGTTTAAAACAAATAAGTGGCAAATGGGTGATGATGGATTGTTTACAGCCCGATAAGTTGTGATCAGGTCGCCCCTAATGCGCCGCTCAGATAGAGTCGCATTAGTGAGAGCCGTTCATGGTATTGCGGTCTAATTCTACCGAAAGGGATTCTGGTCGCCCTACGCTGTACAGACTCCAACTGGTTAATATCTCGCTGCAAAACAGGTCCCCAGACGGAGTTGCCAAACTCCAAGATAGGTCTCACGTAGATCCTATACAATTTGGTGAGAACTAAAGGACTAATCTTGCAAAAAGTTTTCCGTAACAAATAGAGCAACGAGTGAGCTTTTTTGATTATGCAAGCAACGTGATGGGACCAGGTTAGACCAGAATCGATAATGATCCCCAAATCTCGGCAGCAAGACAATTGAGTTAACTGCTTGCCATCAAGATTATACCTGTGCTTAGGATTATTTTTCCCAATGTGGCGGACATTGCATTTGTCGTTATTAAGCGGGAGCAACCAGTTATCGGACCAATTTTGCGGATTGTGAAAAGATCTTCCTGCAGCAATAGGCTATTGGAACTTTTATTGAACAATTTTATGTCGTCCGCGTACATTGCGAATGGTGACGTTATTATGTTTCCCAGATCAGCAGTTTATACAATAAAAAGAAGTGGACCCAGGACAGAACCCTGGGGCACTCCACTTAACACTTCAACAGATCGGCTAAGAGAGTCTCCAACTTTAACGCGAAAAGTGCGATCGCTAAGATAGGCCTCTAACCATTTCAAGAGAAGACCTGATACCCCAACATGTCTCAATTTATGCAGCAAACGTCGTTTTGGAACCCGATCGAAGACTTTAGAAAAGTCCAAATATATAGCATCTAGTGTGTTACCGCGTTCTATCTCACTAGTCGATTGTGATAAACAACTGAGCAAATTAGAATGAATGGATCTGCCAGGCAGAAAACCATACTGCTCTTTAGGGATCTGTCGGTGATTCATTAGGAACTGGATCAGTTGATCATACATTATCGACTCCATGACCTTGATTACCACTGAAGTTAGACTGATAGGCCTGAGTTATTCGAGTCAAATTTGTCTCTTTTTTTGAATATTGGGCGAACTATGCCAGTCCGCCAGTCAGGAGGGAGGATACCGGAATTAAAAGATTTGTTCATAAGTATGGAGAGAGCTTCGCACAAAGTATCAGCGCACATGTGTAATATTTTCGCAGTGATGAGGTCAGGACCGGGAGACTTTGACACTTTAAGCTGTTTTAATTTCTCGCAAACGAGATTTGGAGTAAATATGATTTCACCAAAGGAAATTGGATTAGGAGGATACTTTAGGTATGTAACCTGGTGGTTCTACTGTGAAAACACTAGAAAAGGTAGTGGCAAACATATCGGCTACGTGTTCGTTATTGTCTAAGATCTCTCCTGAAGAGTTTTTGATCTGAGGATAGCCACAGGACCCGATAGCTTAGTTCATATGTACTTATATAACCTCTTTGCATCTGTTGCTTCCGCGATATTTTTTTCGTACACACATCTGGCTTTTCTGATATCGGGCGATACCTTATTCGAGAACGCTCTGTGAATTCTATAGTCAACATTAGAGCGGGATCGTTTGTAAGCGCGCTACAAAGCTCGTTTCCTATTAATTTGATAGAGAAGCTTGCCGGTGATCCAAGGCTTTTTATGCGACTGTTTCCCAGTGACGAACTTGGTGTGGCAACCGACTACATATTGAAAAGTATCTTTGAAAATGTTCCAATTGTTGACAACCGATGGGTTTGAGAGTAATGATGTCCAATCTGTTCCCAACAAGTTCTGGTTTATTGCCTCATAATCTGTAACTGTCCTGTAATTGCAGGTGTTGAATATCACAAATTTAAACCAGCAAAAGAAAAGGAATCGTCATCAGAGTAATCGGATACAAATACATAAGTGATTACGATGATGTGGTGGCAAGTTTAAATTATGGTAGTCAAGCTTCAAGAGCGTCGGCTCGTGAAGCTGTTTGTCCTAACCACAGCCACAACAGGCGTTATGGATCTTAAACACTCGCATTCCTGAGGCTTGCTTCTATCCCTGCAAAGGTAGCAACCAACTGGACAGCCTGATTCAGTATAGGGTTGGAAATCCGGTATTGTCATTCTACCTCCATGGATATTGCAGATAAATATTCACGTGAAAATGGCAAGAAGAGAAAAGCTCTCTCATTTTAGGTAAGTGTGTGGTCACGTCACTGTGCTTCCACCATGAGACTCCGTGCGTTTATTTCGGTTAAAGTTAAAATATCCCGAATTTTGAAGATTATTGATGAGTATTATAATTATCAGGAAGGAAATAAGCAAAATTAAATTATCCACAGTCTTTAAAAATTTCGAACAACAAGAATTTATATGACGTTAAATTATGCTGTCAATGATTAAATCAAAATTAGTTCATCAAGATTACATCCTGGACCAACAGAATTTCCACATCACATAAAACAAAGCACACAACAAATAATAAATAACAATAAAAAATATAATAATTCGAGAATAAATGTTCAAATTCAAGCTGTAAGAAAATACAGTTTAGCCGCCAAAATTAAGTAGGGCACCTCTTGAAAGGATTTTTTTAAGAAATTTAGTTGTGTAAACTAAAGCAATTTATAATTTGTAATTATTCCAATGAATTACTATTGTTACTGAATAATGAGTAATTGTATTGTATTACTTTTTAAAAGTAATTGTTCCAATCACTGCCCAACGGTATAAAAATAGGTCTCCCATTCCGTTCACAACATTTTGTTCCGGTTGGCCCTTTACCACTTACACAACATTCCTAAAATACATATAAAATTTCGCAATTAGGTAGTTCACTACTTTCGGAGACAAATAATAAAATCGCCAACAGATTGCAAGTTACAAACATACCATACACAACAAAATCTGTCTATCGTCAACACAACACAACCCTTGGCAAAAGTGAATGAAACCACCATGCAATAAGTATTGCCTATAGTAGATTTGCATACAGAAAGTGAACAAAGCTCTCGACTGTATGAAGCCAGCACGAATCAAATACTTCAAAGTCCTTGTTAGCAATAACATTAACAAGAGCGTAGCGTTTAGCAACGACGGTGAAAATCATAGTACAGCTTTTAGTTTTCAAACTTCCTACTTTAATCTTATCTTAAATTTAGTGTTAAGAAAGCAATCTTTCTTCACAATAAATACGTTTTTTGAATGTCTAGAGTTTTGTCAGTGATAAATTAATAATTGCATATTGTATTTCATTGTCAGAAAATAATAATAAATTTTACTCTGATAAAGGTATAACAAGTAGGTAAGCCATCGTCTTTACTGATATGAATGGCGTTTTCAACGACAGTTTGAATATACACGATCGAAACATATAGTGTCCATTACACAGTGAATTGACCCTTTTCCTGTAAGCAGAGTGAGTAGATATTATATAAATTCCAATGATACAGAGTGAGACAACACCGCGCAGGCAAAGTCAGATTTCTGGAGCGCCAAGTTAAAATTAACCAATGAGCGACAGATTACGCATGTGTAGCCGGTTGCATTCTGTCAAAGCGGTTTGTTGTCACAGCACAGTATAGATATCAATCAGTAGAGACAACTCGCTGTTTTTACTGACCCGTTTTCATGGGTGGTCGTTTGTCTTGTGACCGTATGAGGGCGCGCAACGCAAGGTACTTCTCTTTCTTACACATTGGGACATTGAACTGCGGTACTTTTGTTATCTAGTGACATTAATGTGAATTGTGAAATATTTGAAATTTGGCAGTTTAGTTGCATTGGTTTTGATGATTTAAGGCTGATCTTCCGGTGTAATTATTGCAGTTAAGTGTAATTTTCACAGAGACATTTTAAAAAGCGTTGTTCACGTTTTCATAGGACCATTGTTTACTGTTTTTTTTTTTTTGTAAAAAAATTAAATGTACATATATGTATTAGCATTTTCTAATAATGTTGAATGTTACAACCATTTACAGCCATCATGAAAAAGAAATTAATGAAACGTAAAATCGTAATCAGAGAAGCGGGCCACATCTAAATTTCAACATGGCGTCCCTGTTATAGGGCGCTTAATTAATTATTTATTATAATAGACTGTGTGGTTTCTAAGATCAACTAGTTATAAAATGTTATTGTTATTACACTATTTTTAAGTCTTTTCCAAAAATTCATTTGCACAAAGTGTAGTAAACTGTGTACACGAATCAATTTTAAAATGAAGCGTTTGTGATCCTTTTTAAATTGGGTGGCGACATCTAGAAATATTTTGGACAACGACCACCGATGACGGCTTAAAATTCGGGTCAAAAAGATCAAAGGCGCCGACACGAGTTGTCCATACTGACTGTTGTCTATACTGTGGTCACAGGCCTTTGCTCTGCTACCGGAGTGCCGGATACTATTTCCAACGTGGTTTTGAAGATGCGTGCGCACGGAAAGTCACGATGGAAGTTTTACGATCTTACAGGAAAAGGGTCAATAAACAAGAGCTCCATATAGTTTAACGTCGAACAAATAACGACACTCGATAAAAATTATACACAAATATTAAAGAATTCGTTACGGCAAAGCATTACTTTAAATGAAACATAGCGGGGAATAATATTGCAGTACTGCAGCTTAGAGAATCAAATAAAACCTAAAACCCAGTTTAATTATAGATTTTAATTCAATGTATTTTCCAAGGCCAGAAACCGTAGTTAATTATATAGACAGTACTTTTGAACATACTTATTTATAAGCCGATATATTTTTATAAATCAATAAATAAAAAAAAACATGGGAGTAAATTTGGTTGGTGAAACATTTTGTATAGCCCACACCGATATCCCACTTCGCCAAATCCGGTCCTGTTCCTCACCCTTGCTAAATTCCAGTGCGAGATGCCATGCGTCCTCGCGTGTTCCCCAGAACATGGCGTCATAGAACAATGACGAAATCCGCCGCCGTCGCCGACGCAGGGAAGCTCTAAAAGTAAATATATTTCACATACTTCCAACAGCCTTATATTAGTAACATAGCCCCTTTTGCTAGTTTTGACAGTAACTCGCACCCTTTAGATTTCGAGTGCATGCCTCGCTTGCTCACGGCAGTTGTGCTGCTGCAGCAACACGTGCCTTTGCCGCTCTCCCGCAAAATCAATAGTCGTTTTATTTAATATTTCTCGAAATAAACCGTTTTCGGCAATCGGCCCAAGCTGTAAGTGAATCTGCATACGTAAGCTTTCATTTTAGCACATTACACGTAAATGCCATTTGATTTTCGGGGTTAAATCAATAGCCACGTTCGGCCTATTTCTTGCATTTGCAGTTGATTTCGCGCGTAAAGCTCGTGCGAGCCGGATTTTGTCAGTACATGTGAATCCGGCAGATGATACACCATTTAATATTAGATTGGAATTTTTAACAGGACTCCAGTTCCTGTGACATCATTTGCCTAAAATAGAATTTTCCCACCTACATTTGCAATATTTTGTAATTACGAAGTTTCGGTTAGCACTGAGTTGAGCAAGCAGTCACCCTTAATTCGCGATGAATTGCGAGAATTTGAGTAACTAATAGCGTAGAAAAGGTTAGTAGTAGATGGTCGCACGCTTATTTTTAGTACACTTAAATCAGTTTGTAGCACACTGTAGCACTACACTGTAGTTCTGTGTAAATATTAATGATAAAGCTTCATTATTTTGTGTAGCTATGCCGAAATCGAGTAGCAATATAACATATAGTGTAGATTATCGAGTACCTAATTTAGTAATGTTTAATGAATCGGCCTTTTGTTTGATATATTTAGAAGCTGTAACTATTTGTCTTACGAATTTTAACTTAATAATAATTAGAAAAGTGCGTGTGCTTTCCAAAATTAAACTGACCGTCTGTCTAAATTTACCGCAACAAGATTTATGTTTGGTATATTTATTAAACCCCGTTGTATTTAGATAAAAGTATAATTAATCTACGAACTCGCAAACACAAACAATTCGTTAATTAAAAAAAAGATTAATTCGTAACTATAAAGTGTTAATAATCGACACTAATAAATTTTGTATTATAACCGCCTGCATCAGATCTGTATTTCACTTTTTACTAAACCATTTTATAGTACAAGGTATATTCCGTAATAATGTAACTTTTCGTAAAAAATTAAAACCAAAGTTTTAAAGTCCTTAGGGTACGTACGTTTACTACGCAATCTCTGCTCGATTATCTTTGAACTAATCCCATTATCTTAAATTTTTAAAAGGAGACGTCTTGTAACACTTCAGTTTAAAACCCTTTTCATCAGGGATGATTAAATGATTACGCAATCTATAGTAACAAACTGACTATTCTGGTAAACAAAAACCGTTTTTTAAAACTGGAACAGGAATGTATGTTTATTTTTTCGTGTAAGATTTCCCATCTGACGACACTTGGTTTGAAAGTTCTTTTGATTATTTGTTAATAAAGAAGTCGGTAATAAAACTAAAAATAAGTTATATAAATTATTACTAATACCAATAATAAATTTACGAAAATAACTGTAATAAAATTATTAAAAAAAGGAAATCTGAAATAATTTTGGCTTCGTATTACTAGTAAAGAAGAAAATTTTTAAATCAAGTGTATAAGCTAGGTAATTTTGTAATTGAAATAGAGATGTAGAATTCGTTTTTTATCAGAAGTTTTCGACATCTATATGACAATTTTAGCACGTGATATTGTTTATAAAAACACAATCAGTACATTCCCAGTAAGAAGAATTTTCATATAACATGTCACAAGATGGATATTCTCAAAAAAAAAAATTGGTCTAAAGAGTTTAGACAGTACTTCCCTCGCTGTCGGAAACTTGACGACTGCATGGCTATTGTGTTTTTTTCTCATTACATTTTTGCAGTGGGAATTTAAAATTGCGATGACGTCATCAACATTTTTGCAAGGACACGGATATCAGTTGGGATAGATGTAGTGTAATTCTAAGAATAAAATTATTGTATTCCCAAATTTTCAGGAAAATTAATTGGGTCGTTTTGAATATTGATTTTTTATAATCAATAAAATAACGAAACAATTTACTCACGTATACGGCAACTGAAAATCGTTTATGTATAAACATTCTTAATTTAAGATGACAAGCGTAACAGCATACGTGAGAGCCAAACAGAGAAACTGTAAACAAAACGACCATCGGTTTTATTGCTTCGACTTCCGCTTATTATATAAAACATTGGGTTTTATTTTAATTCTTGACGGTGAAATTCAGAATTGGTTGATTATAAACATGTCTATTTCACATTCGCGGAACCAAGTGAACAAATGCAGGTCTGTAATGTTAAAGTCGATGTAAATAAGCGTGCTACCCTTATGTTTCAACCGAGTTTTTCCTTTAACAAATTTTGTGTCTACCAAATTGGGTTGGTTGGGGTGTAATACTAATAATAAGTGTTGCCTTTAATTTAATCAATAAAATAAATTGACTTCATTAATTTTTTTTGAACCACCTCTTAAGAAAATCTAAAAAATATGAATGGAATGATAAATCACAAGTACAAACTCATCATATTTTTTGCATTTTAGCTAGGATTTATTCAGCAAAATTTAAGGGTGACGTCATCAATTTTTTTAGGAGGGATGAACAAATACATTTTGAACAAAAGTTTACCATGCTTATAATAACTTTAAAATATTCCCAAGATTTCAAAGCATTCGGTTTTCTAATTCCTGATTAAATCGATAAAATAAATTCACGCCTTCATTAATTTTTTTGAGTCACCCTGCATATGCAAATCCAAAAATATGATTGGAATGATAAATCACAAGTACAGACTCATCATATTTTGTACATTTTAGATACGATTTATTCGGCAAACTTTTGAGCTGACGTCATCAGTTTTTTGTAGAAGATAACCAAATACATTTTGACTAAAAATTTATTATGCTCTTTATAACCTTAAAACATCTGCAAGATTTCAAAGCATTCGGTTTTGTAGTTCCTGATTAAATCAATAAAATAAATTTACGCATTCATTAATTTTTTTGAGTCACCCTGTATATGCAAATCGAAAAAATTTGAATGGAATGATAAATCACAAGAAGTGACTCACCATATTTTGTACATTTTAGATAGGATTTTTTCAGCAAAATTTTGTGGTGACATCATAAATTTTTTAGGGGGGACGACCAAATGCGTTTTGATCAAAAATTTACCATGCTTATGATAATTTTAAAATATCTTCAAGATTTCGAAGCATTCGGTTTTGTAGTTCCTGAGTAAATCAGTAAAATAAATTTACGCTTTCATTTATTTTCTTGAATCGCCCTGTATATGCAAATCCAAAAAATATGAATGGAGTGATAGATCACAAGTACAGACTGATCATATTTTGTACATTTTAGATATGATTTATTCGGCAAATTTTCGAGCTGACGTCATCAAGTTTTTGGAGGGGATAAGCAAATATATTTTGACTAAACATTTATTATGCTCTTTATAACCTTAAAACATCTGCAAGATGTCAGAGCATTCCGTTTTGTAGTTCCTGATTAAATCAATAAAATATATTTACGCATTCATTAATTTTTTTGAGTCACTCTGTATATGCAAATCCAAAAAATATGAATGGAGTGATAAATGACAAGTACAGCCTCATCATATTTTGTACATTTTAGATATGATTTATTCGGCAAACTTTCGAGCTGACGTCATCAAGTTTTTGGAGGGGATAAGCAAATATATTTTGACTAAACATTTATTATGCTCTTTATGACCTTAAAACATCTGCAAGATTTCAGAGCATTCGGTTTTGTAGTTCCTGATTAAATCAATAAAATATATTTACGCATTCATTAATTTTTTTGAGTCACCCTGTATATGCAAATCCAAAAAATATGAATGGAGTGATAGATCACAAGTACAGACTCATCATATTTTGTACATTTTAGATATGATTTATTCCACAAACTTTTGAGCTGACGTCATCAAGTTTTTGGAGGGGATAAGCAAATATTTTTTGACTAAAGATTTATGATGCTCTTTATAGCCTTAAAACATCTGCAACATTTCAAAGCATTCTGGTTAGCAGATTAAAAATTAAATTTCAAAATGTTGTTTTATAATTTTGATTTTTTTTTCAAAAATCTGGACGTTTCGGGTGAAAAGTCGATTCAGAGTTGTAAACTACATGTGTAGGACTATGTTATTTTATACAATTGAAAACCCATTTACTATGTACAATTTTGAAGTGACGTCATCGCATTAGTGGTGGGGATGATTAGACAAATTTTGGTTAGCGTTTTACCATCTACATGATATTCTTAATATAAGTACAAAATTTCACAACAATCGGTCGAGTACTTTCGGAGATTATCTGTCTAATAAAAATCCGGGACAACAGACGGACAGACGGACAGACGGACAGACGGACGGACAGACGGACAGACAGACGGAAATGGGAGACCTATTTCTTCGTCTTCTAGGGGTCATGAAAGATCGAGAAAACGTAAAAGTAGAGAGTCGGCCGACGGACTCGATTAAAATACTTCCTTTGCTTACGCTCGGGAAGTAAAAAAATGAAATGGTGGGAGTAATTATTCTAAAATGACTGAGTGTAAAATACTTAATACATATTTACTTAAAAGCTCGAAAATAATTCTCTACTTTTTAAAAAAGGTCTCATCATTGGAGTGATATAAACATTTAGTTTTTTTTTGTTCACACTCATCACTCATACAAATTTTAAAACTATATTTTTTTTCATAATTGCAACATTGTTAAATATTATTCTAGTGCACATACAGAAAAAGAAAAAAGTAGAATCCAAACTAGAGTTTCGTCCATTATTTTCCATAATACTTATAGAGGTTTTTTCGGAGATAAAAATAAACGACTGTATTTTTAAATTATGTATTTAAAAGTTACATGACATCTATATTTGAACAGATAATAGGCACCGTAGTAGCTGTAGGTTTACCCTAATTTTCTCTCCAGGAAAAAGAATATGTTTTTAAAGTTTTGTTTTGGCCGGAAATTAAGAAAAATTAAAGCTTAGTTACTTATATTGTTGAGTCGATATTTTGATTCATAGTTTACAATCTAAATCTGAGTTTATCTGAATTTTAATTTACATTTTCATAT